TGGGGGGGATGGGGGTGGGGAGAAGAGAGGAATTGCTTTTGACAGTTCATTTGGGTGTTTATTGTTTAATTTTAAAAAGATTTTATAATACAGATAGATAGTAGTAGAAATAGGGACTCTGAATTCATTTAATATTCAGCAAATTTATTGAGTATGTGCTATCTGTTAGGCTTTCTTTTTGATGAACAAGACAGGAAAATAAACTTACTTCTTGTGGAGAGTCCAACAGAAAACAAGAGTGATACTATCAGCTAATAATGGGGACTATGCTCATTTCTGGGGCTTCCCAGGTGGTGCTAGTGGTAAAGAACTGGCCTGCCAATGCTGGAGATGCCAGAGACAAGGGTTCGATCCCTAGATCGGGGAGATTCCTTGGAGGAGGGAATGGCAACCCACTCCAGTATTCCTGCCTGGAGAATACCATGGACAGAGTAGCCTGGCTGGCTATGGTCCATAGAGTCACAAAGTATTGAACACAACTGAAGCGACTTAGCCCGCACTCATGCTCATTTTTAACACAGAGTGATCTAATCGAGAGTGACTGGGTGACAACTTTAGTTTTTCAAGGAAGTCTACTCTAAAATGTGATATTTTAGAGGAGTTCTGAATGACAAAAGAAATAACCCTTTGAATGTAAGGTGGAAGCCTGTTCTAGGTATAGGGATCAGTGTGAAAAATTGAAGGCAGAAGCAAACTTGGTGTGTCTGATGAACAAGGATGGAGACCATTCAGTTGGATCTAGCAAGCAATCGACAGCTTTGGTGGTATATGAAGCTACGGAAGAAGTAGGCAGGAGCAAGGTAGAGACTTTGGCTTTCATTCAAGGGCATTGGGAAATGATTGGACATTTTAAGCAGTGACAAGGTCTGATTCACATTCAAGAAAATCCCTCTGACTGTTGTATGTGGAATGTATTTTAGAAAGTCAAGAGGAGACCAGTGAGCAGGCTAGTAAAGTAGCCTGGGCAAGAGATGATGATAGCATGGTCTTCTGGGATTCTAGTGGAGTTGCTTTGAGGGTAATCAATGGGACCTATGTGGGCTTCCCTGATAGCTCAGTTGGTAAAGAATCCACCTGCAATGCAGAAGACCCTGGTTCAGTTCCCCAGTCGGGAAGATCCTCTGGAGAAGGGAAAGGCTACCCACTCCAGTATTCTGGCCTAGAGAATTCCATGGACTGTATAGTCCATGGGATTGCAAAGAGTCAGACACGACTGAGCAACTTTCACTTTCACTTTTCGCTTTCAGTGGGACCTATGCTGGATTTGAGGTTAGGGAGAGAAGACTTTAGGATAATTTCCTGGATTTGGCAAGTCAAGTGAACTGGATGGCGGACAGTGTGTTATCTTTTACGTGTCACTGGTACTTTGTCACCTCTGTGAAATAGGAGTTTGTGCTTTTATCATAAAAATACCACTTTCCTATGCGTGAGTAGCTATTACTGAAAAAGTAAACATTGAAGAACTGTTTTCTCCATAATATGAATGCTTGAATATTTATGATTTAGGCTTTAAGTTCCCTTTGCTTATAGAACTATTGATTTTTCACATGAGTCTCTTGGACTAATTTTCTTAACATTTTAATTCATTCAGTTAGAAATATTTTGGGCACTCTCTGGGCTCTTAGTTTTAACATGCATGCTTGCATGCCAAGTCACTTCAGTTGTGTCTGACTCTTTTGTGACCTTATGGACTGTAGCCCACCAGGCTCTTCTGTCCGTGGGATTCTCCAGGCAAGGACACTGGGGTGGGTTGTCATGCCCTGGGATCTTCCCAACCCAGAGATTGAACCCACGTCTCTTACGTCTCCTGCATTAGCAGGCGGTTTCTTTACCACTAGCACCACCTGGGAAGCCCTGGTTCTAACGTGTTCTGTGCTCACTCGCTCGGTTGTGTCCGACTCTCTGCAGCCTCATGCACTGCAGGGTGCCAGGCTCCTCTGTCCATGGGATTCTCCAGGCAAGAATACTGGAGTGGCTTATCATGCATGCCCTACTCCAGGGGATCTTCCCAACCCAGGGATCGAACCCAGGTCTCCCGCATTGCAGGCAGATTCTTTACCGTCTGAGCCACCAGAGAAGCCCCAGTTCTAACGTGGTAACGAGCAAAACGAAGAATGTGCCCTCGTGGAGTTAACAGTATAGAGGCAGAGCAGACAGTAAGCAGATACATCAGTAAATATATGAGGGAATGCCAGAAGGGTGAGTTGAGGGTTTCTATTTTACATAGAGTGGTCGATCTTATTAAGAAGGGGACATTTGGCAAATGACCTGAGGGAAGTGAGAGAGCGAGCAGATGTGGGCGTGGGAGGGAAGAGTGTCTCGGCAACAAGTGCACAGGCCTGGAGGCAGGAGTGTGTTTGCCGTACAGGAGGCAGCAAGGTCAGCTGTGGCTGGAGCGGAGGGGAGGGTGATAGGAAACGGTCTCCGGGAGTGCGGGCACACGTGGGCAGGACTGGCGTGCTCTCCTGAGACACTTTAAGAACATGGCTTTATTCTGAGTGGGTAGGAGGTTACTGGGGGATAGTGAGTGGAGCAGTGACAAGGTAGGGATCACTCTGGTTGCTTGGTGAAAAACAGAACCTAGGAGGGAAAATAGAAGTTAGGAGGGAGACCATTATGGAGGTTGTTGAAGTAATCCAGGAGAAGTCGACGCTGGCGTGGAGGTGGTGAGAAATGGTTATTAGATCATGATTGCATTTTGAAGACAGAACTGGCAGGGTTCTGCCTTGTATGACTCCATGGTTTGGGGCTCAAATAACTGAAAGAATGGTTTGCATCTACTAAGATGAAGAAAGCTCTGGGAAGAGTAGATTTAGAGAGGAAAACTGGAGATCGCGTGTTGGACGTTTGAGTTTGAAAGTGAGCGTGTTAGTCGCTCGGTGCTCTCTGACTCTTGGCAACCCTTGGACTGCAGCCCACCAGGCTCCTCTGTCCATGGAGTTCTCCTGGCAAGAATAGTGGAGTGGGTTGCCATTTCCTTCTCCAGGAGATCTTCCCAACCCTGGGATTGAACCCAGGTCTCCCACATTGGAGGCAGATCCTTTACCATTTGAGCTAACCGGGAAGCCCCTTTTGAGTTTGAGTTGCTTGTTAAATTAAATTTCTAGGTGGCGTTGAGTAGGCAGTTGGAAATGGCAGACAGGATTTTAGGAGAGAGGGTTAAAACAGGTATTGTTCCTATGAATAGATCTCTTATTTTAATTCTGTTTGAAGAAGAAAAGGTGGGAGAAACAAATAAATTCAGTCAAGGCTATGCATATCGTTA